AGAATCACTGCAGTGCTATTATCAGAAAAAATTTAAACTAGCTGGCAATACTATATTCTAGCACTTTAATTCTTTATCATAAAGTGAACGGTGAAAATAAATCAAGTAATTCTGAAAATAATAACGAAAAAACTAAGTTGTATATTAGCTAGAATTTAAATCAGCCAAAAATACCTTTAAATTATTTTACAATCAGCACTAATTCACTACTGAGCTGATAAAAATACATACATGAACAAAACCCCTGAAACATGGAGTGATTTTTTTTCTTAAATTGTTAAAATTAGGGAAGAAATTTAATTTAAGCAGCTGAAAAATTTTATGTGTTTAAAGCATCTTTATCAGTAGGCACAGTTCCTAGAGGAACAGGACACAACCATAACATTTTAATAACTTGAAGTAGTAAGTCATTCAACAGAAATATGTTAGAACCAACTTGGATTAAGAAATCGTATTTGGCTCATTAAGATAAAAACCTGTCCACTGTAAGGCCTATAAAACAGACAAATTCAGTAACTTGCATCTTCTGTCATTGGACAGTTACTATTCAGGGGGCAAAAAAGCTAAGGAGATCCCAACATATAGGGAATGCCATATTCTGATTAGCTAAGATAAAAACAGGAGCAAGATTAAAGTTTAGAGTCTGGATGAAGTGATATACAAATCTGAGAAACTAATTTAATTTTGTTGACAAGCCTGGCAGTGGTTTAAAACTAAAAAAAAGTAAGATAACACTAGGCAACATCATGTTGCGGTACACATTCAGTCTTTAATATGCCTACGTAACACTACAGCGTCCTTTCCCACAGCGACAGAAAGAAATACAGAATAATAATACAGAAGACAAGGATAAAGAGAAGCAACAGAACTGTTGCCATCGCTTGTAGATACAGATATGAGATGCCTGGTTTGCATACCTCTAAGCATCCTACTGACTCAGGAAGGCATCGGGAACTTCATTATCACAAGAAGATAAAGTGGAACGGTGGAGACAACAAACGGGCATTGCCTTAGGTCTGAGAGAGACTGATGATCTTTGGGAGAGAAGACTGTCCTCAGGCAGGTATGGCATCGGACCTCAACAACTAGAAACTGTCAAGAGTGGAACAAGCTGTATCTGCAAGGAAAACAGTGTCACTAACTCAAACTTATGACGGGATGCTGGCTTTGATCGCTTCTGTTAACGGGCTCTGGAAGACCCTATGGAAGAGCATACTAGAAAACACCAAATCCTTTCCTAAAAGCAGACAAGTGACCCAAGAGATATGCTGGAGGGGGCAGGGGGGTGGCCAGGAAATAGAGAAAAGCTCATTCTCCTTTCATTCACATGCATTGCAACAGGTTGTTGGAACAGTGTTCATCCAATGAATAATTCCTGACAGTTAATTAGCAGGACCATTACGTTCTATCAGCATCTAATAACATGGAATACAATCAAGAACGGTGTTCACTGTTGCTCCCAGTTGCAATCAAGTTCTATTTTCTATATGTGCACACAGGAGCCAAGAAATTATTCAGTAAGGTTAAGTTAGAAGAAATTAGACTGATCCATCTTGCTGGAATTAAGTCTCTCAGTGACTTTAAGAACAGTTATACATGCACAAAAGAAAAAACTAAAAGAGGCAGCATGACAAAAAAAAAGTTTTCTGCCCTATTACATACCATTTTATTCATGATACTTAACAAAGCTAAACCTGTACAATTTTGTACATATAGCATTGAAAGAACTGTTCACTAGTTTATAAAATGAACAAGACATCAGAAACATTAAACTTATGATCCCTTTTGCGATTTTTGTGCAGTCAGTATCAGTACATCAGCTCAAAGCTTTTGAGAGATGAAAAAACCTTAACAATGGAAATACAGACCACAGTGCCCCCTCTTGGGCCATCTGTGAGCAGTCCCAAGCTTGTATCCTCAGTAATCTCAATTGCAAAATTCAAATTCCGCTATATAGAAATGTGAAATTACAGCCATTAGTAAAGAATTAGACGTTTAAACAGTAAAGATAAATTGGATCAAAACTACATATACAGTTAAAGACATAGGTAAACATACATGACTGTTTAATTCCAGATCACATTTTTACATAGGAGAAATATTACATTCCAAACTACCAATATGGCTTTTTCCATGAACAGGTGGGCGTTTTCAGATTTAAAACCCCAAAATGTTAGTTGTCTAAGAAAACTAGAAAAAACCCAGTTATGTTAGGAAGAATTAATATCAAGAAATGAAAGTGAGATTAAAGTGAAGTTTATAACATCAAGATAGACACCACTATGATTTAGTTTTGGAAGACATTTCACCTTTGATTTTATTATTTGCTGTAACTGTGGCAGCATATTTCAACTGTGAACTTTCATCTTAGAATACTGAAAAAGAAGATATCACTTTTTTTTAATTCAATAGACTGAGGTGCACCTGAGCAAAGCAAAATTAAAGTCCAAGGACTCCAGAACGCATTTAGCTGAACTCAGTTTTGGCTTGTGGACATGCACAAAATTAAAAAAGTAAAATAAATAAACAGCTTTTGGCACTTATCCACAGTAAGCTGTAAGGTGATTTAATAAAAGACAGCTAATAAAAGTGATCAGCTCACAATGAAACTGTACAAGCCATTAGTTCACATTTAAACAATAAATCTGATTGCAGCTTTTAGCACAAAACCCCATAACTTAAAATCCTATTTTATTCAAATTTGAAAAACTATATTGATTTTAAGTAGTTTAAATACATTCATTCCCAGTCAAAGTTTTACAGTAACTGATGATTTGCAATCACGCACACAACCAAGTTATAAATCCCTGAAACATGGATTTATTATAGGAATACTGATAAAACCTTAACAGAGATACAAATGATACATCACATAGCGTCTTATACCTTAATGATAAGTACTTGACCACCTTGGATTGGTAGATGCATCACTCCTACTGTTAAACTCTAATACCATCCTCTAGGACCAACTGGTTTAAATTGAATTCACAACAGTTTGCAGTTACCTAAAAAAAGATGATTTTTTTTTTTTTAAATCACACTGTAAAATATTCATCTTCTAATGGGTATTTCAAAACTTCTGGAAAGATAATTTCCCAGTTATAATGGGGACTAAACATACTAAGCAAGGAGAGTTATTTTAGTGAATTTGAGAAAGTAATTTCAGAATCAGTACCCCCGCACAGATTTAGGATACAGCAGTACTTCCCCTGACCTAAGTCAATTGGTGCATGTTTATCTGTGCATCTTCGGACCTTACTCTACCAGTAGATCTTGGGACTCTTGAAGTTAATCTCATTCTGGCACTAACTTTCTGTGGGGTAGGGCAATCTCCAAATGAAAGGCACTCTGTTATGAGTGAAATCAGAATTATCAGTAATGCAAATGGACAACTTGTAACATATTGAAGAGAACTGCTGAAGACTACATGAGGCCTAAAATTAAGTACTTAAAAAAGGTGGAATAACAGAACAGCTGTAGCGCATGTGTTTGCGTGCACGCATACACTAGCCACTGTACAAGCAGAGATCTTCCACGTATCTCAACTGTTTGGGGTTTTTTTTGTTGTTTGTTTTTTCCCCCCCAATGCTTTTTTTCACTTGGGCAGAACCAAGCTTCTAAGGTTCAACTGCACTATCAGGTGACTTGTAGAACAGCCCATGGACCACCACTGCATTGCTTCCTGCAGCCCACAGCAAGTAGTTCTGAAGAGTAAGTTGCAAGAGTGGTCCTCTAGTAGAACAAGAGCACAGGCACACACTACTAGTTTGTCCCACTTCTCATTTCTCCTCACACCTTGTCTTTTTTTTCCCCTCCTTGTGAGAAAGAAAAAAAAAAGAAAAAAAAAAGATTCATCTTGGGAATAAAGCTTTCCTTAAGGACAGGAAAACTCATGCTTGTTAGTCTGAATAAGGGATGTGCAAAACAGAAGTCATTTCCCTGAGGCAAAGATCTTCAAGTCATGCCTAGCTTACATTGTCTATTCTTATTTCAAGCGGTTGAAGTATTTGGCACAATGAGGCCTCGATCACTGACTGAGTCTCATGGCATTATCACAGTCTACATAACGTATTTATATAACAAAGTAGAAGTTACAAATGCTTCATTCTCTCATTCTGCTCTGGTTTCTCACATTTACTCATTAAAATCCGTTTCCTTCTCAAGGGTGGCATTGGGCCTCCTGGGCAGGAAGGTACAGTGACAAGCTTCTACTGTATTTAAAGGTTGCCACGAATACTGAACGCCTAGAAGGGCAAATCACAGTAGTTATTGGATTCAATAGATGGAGTAACAGTAAAAATTAATAGCCTGTTATATACAGTAAAAGGTAGGTGACTTAATAGTCTCTTCTTGACTTACATTATGAAAAGCATTCAGGGAGATAAAAAAAAAAGTCATGCTGTGAATGCTTCCAGTCTAAAACATGTAAGAAGCAAAGCTCGAAACCAAGCTTTCCAGCTTTCCCTTTTAAAATATAAATTGCACTTTTTATACAAAGCAATCCAAAGACTAAGTTGTAGTAGAAATTTGAAGCTGCCTTACTGTACCAAAGAGTATCTGTGTTCACCATTTGAAGTACAGGCAACTAGTTTTCAGCCACTCTGCATACAGAGCCATATGCTCTACACTTTTCTGCTTTAAAAGGGCCTGCCATTAAATGCCATGCCACTGGGTGGGTACTGAACAAAAAAGAAAAAAGAAAACAAATTAGAGTTTAAGGCCTTTGTCTCCACAAGGAGCTGAAAACTGTGGCGCAACCCATGACCAATAATTAATAAACAAATTAGCACACTCCCACCCAGGGCTCCAAAAATCAGTCATTCTTTCTAATGTTTGTCACACAAGACAATCATACCATCAGCAAGCAACAGTGCCAGTTAAGCATTTTTAAGGTCTTCAAAAATTCATAGCAAAGGGCACTTCTGAGAAAGATAATCTTAAAGATTTGGTTTTAAAAATAGACACCACACTCACATTCAAGGGACATTCTTCACTTTTAGGCCTTTGTCACAAATCTGAATCTTTATTGTTCTGAAATAAATGCTATAAACATAAGACTCAAAACAAGAACTCCAACTTTCAGTCTCAGAAGAGGTGTGGTTCAATGCCCATATCACGTATAACAAGAAAATTTCCTTAAAAAAGGAAAAAAAATTACTGTAAAGTCTTTCTTAAGAATGAAAATGCAATCCTTTGTTTTTCTCATTAGTTTGTGTACAGGCGGGCACCAAAAAAAAACTTTTGCATTTTCTTTTGAATTCTTGCTATGACGCTTGACGAACTTTTTGCCATTCAACAAATTCATCCAGAAGTACAGGCCCTGCAAATGGATGAAACTTGGAGTTATATTTGCCAATGTCTTTCAAACATCTTCTCTTAAAGTATAAAGGTTCAAACTATTGGTCTAGGTAACATCCATGTCAATCCTATGGTCAAATACTTATTAAGACTCAAAGATTACGGCAATAATTTCAATCCAAAGGTGGCAAATAGTGCACAAATAACACTACACAGAACTACGGAAAAACATGTTCCTGACATCTGACAGTTGCACTGAACTGAATGGAAAGCATAAAAATAAGGTTGTATTGTAAATCAGCACAACTAATTTCTTCCTAGAGCTTTCAAAATTGTACATAATTAGAACACAGACCAAAATGGGATGCCTAATGCAGTCATAGTATGATTGACTATCAGCCAGGTGTAGAGTTCAGCCCCAAGTACCAGCAGCTAGGCTACTTCATAGTTAAACTAGAGTTTTTTATATATTAGTACAAAATGAGAGTTTGCTCTTTATAATTCTATTTGCAAGTCTATAGTTTCATGTAGCAAGCAGCTTCACTAGATCCTCAACTGAATATAAGTTGGCTTAAGTACACCATCATACCCCTGACAAACTACTATAATTAATATCTACAGTTTGAAGATGGATGGTTATCAGGACAGTTTTTCTACGCATTGTTGGAGAAGAAATATTTTATAACTTACAATATTGTTTCTGTTACAGAAATTTGTTTTATGCAAATTGAAAATACTGAAATAATAGTTGAATAAGCCAAATGTTATGAATACTTACATGCACCATCTTCATCATAGTTGCTAAGATCTGCATGGACAGTTCTGCTGAACTCTAGCACATTGTACCACTGATCCTTGTTCATAACTCTATACTTCGATTGCTAGGGAAAACAATTTCAGAACATTAAAATGTCAAGTGACATTTGGTAATGCTGCATCTCTTTTTATCTTCAGTTCCTAACAACTCATTTAATGGGTAACAACGGTTACTATTTCCTTGGTTTTCCATTTTCTAAAATACTACATGTGTACATATTTCATAGTACTGAAACTATATAAAATGGTTTCCTGAAGGATCAGAGCAAAACTGAAATACCAGGGAATCACAAAGTCACCACTCTTAAGCTTCAAAAACTGGTAAATTTTCATCTTGCCCTGAAGTGGGGCACACTTAGCTCAGATGTATTTTCAGAATGAATGATTAAAAAATAATCTTTTCTCCAGCATACAATACCATACGATCATAAGGACATCTACTTTGCAACGTTAGTACTGATTTGAAGCCAGGGAGGAGTCTCAAGCCCAGCATGCTCCACAACCTACACATGTCCACATTATTGACTCAGTCACTTGCAGCTGAGCTGACCAAAATCTTCCAGAGACAGCCAGGGTTCAAGGTACCTACATACTATATCTACACAAAGCAAAGTTGAAATTCAGCACAGATGTACCACATGAAGAGACTGTTGGGGCTCTATTATTTAATTTTAAATTTACCTTTATAGTCTAATTAAGACGGAATTTTAGTTGCCTTTGATAAAAGAAGGGGGGGTGGGTACAAGGAGGGAGAAAAGAATCTGTGACACATACATCACTGTTTCATAAGCACATCAAGCAAGGGAAGAGGAGCAATATGGATACATTCTTGAGCAAAACAACACAAACCCTGAAATCTTTTCACAGAACAGCCCAACTACTATGCCATCATTCAGAAAGTCAAGGAAACTTGTACCTCCAGGTATTGATAAAATACTGAAAACAGTGGCCAAGTTCTTCCAAGCAGAAGAGCTAACATGGATTTTGCAGTATCAATATCAAGACTTCGCTGGTCTTTATCCTAAGGGTGAATAAAGAAAGCACAAAATCCACTCAAGTACAAGCTTGTTGAATAATTAAAATAAGAACTTCTCTAACACTGCAGTAGTCTTACCCTTGCAAAATCAAAGGCGTATCTGTAGATATTCTTAAAAGATGAAATGTCATTCAATTGTGACCGCAAGAAGTCAAATTTACTCTGTAATTTTTCTGTACAGTCACACCTTAAAAGAAATAAAACCAAATGATGTTAGAAGTTCAAAACAAAACATTTGGACAATGAAAAAAAAATGCCAGCAAACATCAAAAATTAAAATCACCAAAATGCAATCATCAGTTGTACAGGATTAATACTATGAAAGTGACTTAAAGAACACTGAACATGCTCAACATCTGCAGCTTACTGAAATGATGGATGCCTGGCTTCTGTAAGTAAGTTTTAAAAAATATATTAGCAATATAATATAATACAAAGTCTCTGCTTTACTTCTCAAATAGTAGTCTTTTTATGCCATGCTCTACAATTTATATTTACACCCAGCACTATCTTATCTTCCAATCACTATGGAAGGTTGGAGAAAACAGTATTCAGTGTGCATTAAGGTGGTAAAATCCAGCTGTAAATAAGGGCTTTATGTCATATCTCTTTGGAAAAAAAACAAACCCTGAAAACACACTTCAAGACTACATATTTATGAGTGTCAGGACTGAGCAGCACTCTGCAAAACATACTAGTCTGCTCGTGTTTTATGACTGATAAACACAAGCTTTGATAAGCCTATCACCTGGATTAGACAGTAGCTATTCAACTGAAAACTTACAGGCTGCATGAGAATGTACAGGTCTGCTAGTTGACAGGATAACCCTTTGGCAAAAATAACTTTTTGGCAGAAAAGAAGATCTCTACGTATTTTACTTGGCAAGGGCTTTTGTTTCCAAATAGAAAACGGGTTAGATTCACCAACAATGGCAGAGAAGAATGTAATTTACACATGCTAATCCTCCAGGAAAGACTCACTCAAAAGAACAGCTGTTATATTATATCACATTTTATTCTTATAAAATAATAGCTGCTAAGATTAAAAAAAAAATAATAAATGCACCTTGCCCTGTATCCCGTGTGACAGAAGCAATACTTTCAGAAATACAGATACATAAATAAATACTTCCTTTGGTAATGTCCCCCCCTTCTGGCAGCCTGCCTCTCAGAGAATACATTTGCATCTAACAGCTCCTTAGGGACTCGTCACCATAGCCCATAGCAAGCACCCTTCAGGAGTACCGCAGCAGGTTGCTGAGATGCTGTACTTTGATGCCATACTTTGCTCACAGCCGATACTCCCTGTTCCTCAGGTCTGCTAGTCTGTGTATGCATGTATGTCTGTCTGCCCCTCTCGGGCTGCCACAACAAATTCCAGCTGATGGAGCCTTTTGTTATTTCTTGTCTCTAGCAGCATCTACCTAAAGCAGCACTGAGTCCCAGCCAAGATCAGTGCTAAAAAATAAAACTATTAGCTAATTAGGCTGCATATTCAGATGACAAGAACTAATATATCTTGCAATAAACCATGCATTAAGTTGAAAAGAAATCTTGTTAAAAAAGCTTTCGTAAATTTAATAAAAAATTACTTTTTTTGTCTTCAGCCATCTAATTGGTTTATGTATTCTATTGTTTAACCCTCAAAACAGTATTACACTATGCTACAAAGGCATCTCATTTTATGTTCATGTCTCTTCTTTCCATGTTCAAACCTTCATACTGAAATAACATTGTCCTCTACATTTGAGGACAAATCTACCTATTTAACACCTAACTAAGTGCTCATGTTGTTAGTGTACTAATGACATATATAAACTACTTAAAGTGGGTTTACCACATATTTTGTCAAATATAATTTGACTAAGATTATTTACCATACCATGGATAAACACAAATTTCAGTATATTTAAATGACTTTAAAATATTTTGTTAAAATTGTTCAAATAATCATGAATTTAAGTACAAAGTAAAATGCCTGTTATTGTCTACTGTACTATTGGCTAAATATATTTTAATACAGAAGTGATTCTCTTGAAAAAGGTGGTATGAAACTGTGCAATTATTAAGCCTCAAGACTCCTGAGCTATTGTCAACCTGTTTAAAACAAAACAGTCAAATGGATCACACTCAAACAGACAGGCACCATCCTCTGAAGCCCAATGCAGGGACATACCTCTGTTAAAGCCATTTAAGGCATTTCCACACCTGGCTATGGATTTTCTTCACACCAGTGAGGTAAGGAGCTGCCAAACTCCTCTTTTATAGAGATAGAGCTGCTTTTATGGCTGCACCATAAACAAGATGGCTGAGGTCACCCATACTTAGAATAATTTTCCTATTTATTTTTTTAGTCAGAACAACCTTCTAGTTAGCACAAGTGAATTAACAACAAACTTCTCTACAGAGACTAGAAAAAGGATGTGATTTCTTGAGCTGCCTTTGCTGAAAGATAGCATTAAATAAGGCTACCTCAAGATCAACAAAACTAGATACTAGCTTACTACCTTTCTCTTTGCATCCCTACATCATATTTATAACAAAACTTAAATTAGCACCACAAAGCAGTCCTATTTTGATTTCTATTGAGGTAGAGAGTTCATTTGAGGCATAGCTAACATGGACAGAGTGATGATTCAGTAAGTCCTACTCAGATATTCCAATGTTTCATATTTCATAATTATTCGCACATGCTTGTCTTACTAAAAAGAAAAATTAGTGAGATGTATACAAACATTAAACCAAAAGCATTTAGTGGTGGTATATAAAGTAGTTTGAAGGTCTTTTAATCTACAAAAGAGTTCCCCTGCCGTCACCCAGCCCTCCAGATGGACAAAAGGAAATGATACCCATCTAGCCCATCCACTCTCTGCAAGCATTGAAACAGGATCTTCTGAAATTTAGGTTCCATATTGTAACTGGATACAGAGGTCCAAGGAAGTAATGGCTTAGGAAAACAAAGGGACATCTTTTCCGTGCCCTGACAATGCTATAGTTTCACTATGTCAATTGATTTACAGGTCTGGAGACCAGAAATTGTTTAGATTCCAGTATACACTGAATGCTATACTGGCATAAAGAAATTATTTACCTTATGCTTTGTGTTAGCCTCGCAAACATTAACAGAAGGAAAGGCAGTAACAAGCAAAAAGCTTTGTTGGAAAAGCAGCAGATATTAGGCTATCATTAAAACCAACCCAAATAAGTTGGTTTTACTAATAATTCTGCAAACAGCAAGAAGTTACAAACCTGGCTTTTTTTTCCTCTTTCTCTCTCATGTGGCTTCTCTTGTACCTAAAAATATGAGATCATGACCCTATCTTTCCCTCAATTTGAATCTAACTTGTCTCTCTGCTCTTTACCTGGCCACTCATTTTTAAAAGCTCAATTTTAATGTAAAATTTGACTCAAATTCTAAGGTTTAAAAAAAAAAAAAAAAAATAGCCAGAGGGAAGTACTCCGACAATACAGCAGCTTACGTCTCACTTCCTTACACACAAAATTCCTTGTATTTACCTAGTTCAAACAATGACTTCAGTGGAGTTTAATAAAATCATGAATTGTAATCCTTTTTCCTTCACCTTCATTTCGTAACTAGATTTTTTTTTCTTTGTAGGTCTGCAAAGCCTACAATTGACAAATACCTGAGTATGCTTCTCCTTTAACTCAGATACCTAAAGTTAAATGCTCAATTCTAAGTTATTCACTCTCCAATGGCTTTAAAGCAAATGTAGATGAGCAGTCACTTCCTGAAGGCTAGTCATTTCATCCTAAGGAGGTGTTTAAAATAGCTGATATAAATTGCCCAGCAGAGGTACTTGTTTCTCTATGCTGACTATGAAAAGAGCTTCAGGTGATTAATTTAGACTCAGGCACCCAACTTTCAAACATATACACACACACACGGCAGAATTCACCCTACCAACATGACATACTACAAACCTCACTTTCACAGCTTAAGTTGTTTAAGTCTCATAAGCTGCTACTTAGTGCTTGATCCACCTTAATTTTGACAGTGTATACCTTATCACACATTTATTTTTCTCCTCCTCCCTAAAGAACAAACTTCATCAGCATATCATAAAACCACACACAAAAGAATGTCACTTCAAGATTCAGGCACCCAAACATTGGCATCTAACTGTAGATCAGATTTAGGTGTCTAAGATGTAGGTGTTGCCATTCATAGAGGTCCAGCCAACCAAACTATAAGAGCAATTCAGGTGACCAGTCACTAGGTCTTAGGGCAAACTGAATACCTCCCCAGGCTCCACTACATTGACTAGATTTCCAAAGACTGCAGTAAGAGTTTAAGAAGTCCAGCTCTAGCATATAAACCACACATTTAGGTGTCTTACTATGGAGCTGAATTCCACCCAACCCTGCTCATGCAATTACCTTATGTGACATTTCACATATTTTGAAATAAGGATTCTGTAATAAAACTCTGACTTAGAAGACACTCTGGGCTTTTACTGCATTTTAATGTAATTTCTTCATGCAAAAATTAAAAAAAAAAAAAAAAAAAGCTGTGCAAAAATGTAATAATACTCTATTGCTTTAAGAGCATAAAATCCTTCTCCTTCAAAACTTCTGTCAGATCTTTCAAGAGAAACTAGATTCCCCCATTCCAGATGGAATCCCATAATATGAACCTCCCTTCCCAGTAATCACAAACAGCACAAGTCTACAGATTTATATTCTCTTTTTAAGCCAACAAATCTTGAGTTCCTTCACGTGACTGCCACTGCTTGATCCAGCTGCTTAGTCTACAGCCTGCTATTAGAGCACACCCAGGGGAAGCAAAACGTACAGGTTAACTGGTTTAGGCTTAGGAAAGTGCTCCGACCACAAGTCTTTTTATGTAAAAATGCACAGCAGTACCATATTTTCTGTGTTAAACACATTTAACCTACAGCATGACCAGCTCTGTTCTTAAAAGATCCAGAAGATTCCTAATCACAGCAGATTATTAGAAATGAAGTCTATAATATTGGCTCTGAAGACGTGCCTGGTTTCATATATCTTTGTGCTTGCATTCTGCTATACTGGCTAACTCTTGAGAGCTCCCATTTGGGCATAAAAATTTAGTACTTCAGAGAAGTAACCAAATTACACCCATTCACTGCATCTAAAAATTTATGCACCCGGAATTTAATCTCTGTTGTCCTGAATTTCAGGCAATTTAATCATTCCAGCTCTTACTAAATTTAAGAGCTTCTGACAGTCACAAAACAATCAAGGCATCTATTGGAAGCATGATCCCAAATCAGTAAGATTTGCACAAGAGAGTCAGGCCACAGTCACTTACTCCATAGTCTCAAATAACCAGAGGGTATCTACCCAGTACAATTTCCCAAACCAATTCACAACTGATAAGGCAACTGTGCCAACTCCAAGGGTCAAATCAGCTCCTCTTTCCCACCATGCTGTAGCTGCAAGGATAGCTCCCTGACATTTTTAACATTGAATGCAGTGTCATAACAAGTCACCCTTAAAACATTCATGTACCATAAGTAGTTTCATGAAGAACAAACAAAAAGGGACAACTGAACTAAGCCTCAGAAAAAGCTGATCAGTCTCATGGAAGAAAAAACCTCTTTGGGCAGAGCGATATCTCACCAAAAATTCTTACAAATAGAAGGAGTGAGAAATTTATTTATAAATTGAAAGTGTTACTTAACCTAAGCATTAAGCATGGCTTCTGACCTCCATCTTATAAATAACAGTAATAACCAAAATTATTATCAATGCAGTCCTCATCTATAAAGCTTAGAAATCAGTAAAACTTTCTAGAATACTAGTGCTGAGATATGCTTATGGCTATCTCCAGATCTACTTATTTGTGTCTACCAACTAGAATAATATTTTTTGTAAGAAAAAGAAACCACCAAAACCTGATTTATGAGGGTTAGACAAAACTTCATCATTTGCGTGAACTCATCAGATTCACAACTTTAAGAACAACAGCTATTTCCAGTTGTTGACCGAGACCAGACCTGAGTTTCTGTGTCTTACTGCCAATGCACAAGAAACTGAGGGCAAGAATTATTAAGCTACTAGTACAAACATAAAATTAGAACATTCTGTTATATACGTAAAAAAGCTCTTACTGTAATGAGGTCATTCCTTTTAACCATTCTTCCTTGGTAAAAAATCCCATGCTTTCAGCCTCTAGTTTCCAGGCTAAAACTAACATAATAATCTAGGAGGGAAAAAACAAGGGGAGAAAAAGGAGTCGGTATGTAAGAAAAGGCTGATTTCTAGATATCCGAGAAGAAAATTCTAAGCATTCAAACATTCTAGCAATTGTTGTACATGCTTGCACTTCATATTTGTTACCATTTATTAATTCAGCTATGTGCAATCTTTCTCTTAATTTCGATTTCTGAAAATGAAATGTTACTATAATAAAACAAACAAAACCTCACACACCAGCCACACATAATTGATATATTCAGCTGAAATATCTTAGAACAGCTCCTAAAAGCAGGAAGATAAACAACTCTTTGCTTACTGAAGTTAAGAGTTTTACACAGAACTTAATCTTACCCAATACCCCCTTTTAAAGTGTTATTAGTATCGTGCAAGAAACCTACATTTTCAGGCTCAACACCGATGTCTTCACAGAACTTTTCCATTCCTTCGGGCCCCACGACTTCATCGGGACCTTCAAAACCAAAAAGAAACCGGACTGAAATCTAAGTTACATTCACTGCTCACAAGGGTTATACACAACAATAATTAAACTATATTGCATACAAGCTATCCTTAAAAACACTGCATTACACTATTAAGTAGCTTTTATGTATAACCATTCTAACAACCGCAATGTGGGGGCACGTATGTTACATATGAAGTGACACTATGAACTAAAAGCAAAACTAAACCAGAACTTTCATTTTGTGCACTGCCTCCCCACAACAGCAGACAAGCTATTTTAGTTTGTGTATGTGAGTTTTCAAAAGATTCCACTGAGTTTCCCACTGACATAGCTCAACTCCAATAATTGTGGTGGTCAATTTTTTTTGAGACAACATGGGTACTGCTACTCTGTGCTGAAGTTACTCTATGAATAATGTTCTTCAAAGAGTTATTTTATCAACAATAACAAAAAATAATTCTGCCTGAGCTACTATTACAGATATTGCTCTTTCAATGATGTTAACATTATGGGTTTGCACTAACACAGAACAGGATGAATCTTCAAATAATGTAAGGTTAGTTTTATGATGCTGAGTAATATGAGGAGAGTGATAACAATAAATCAGGAAAATGCTAAGCATGTTAGCCATGTACAAAGCAGAAAAAGTTTTATGACTGCAGAGAAAATAACTTGATTATGACCACAACAGTTAGTGTCATGCTGTCACTTTTCCATTTTAACACAAAGAAAGCCTCTAAAAAGCAGCAAAAAAGCGTATTTAAAGAGCACATACAGACACACTCCACAACTCTTTGTTTCTCTGAATCACTCTCTGGGTTCAGTTATTTCTGCTAAGCCTGTTCCAAAAATGACTCCTACTGGGTAACCAAATATTATTAGAATGCCTGTTGACATGCTATTTTGATAAGTCTTGGATCATTATGTTAACATTGTTTTAGTGAATATGAACCCATTGTATTGTGTTTGTGTGGCAAACTTTTGGTAGCAGGGGGGTTACAGGGGTGGGTTCTGTGAGAAGCTGCTGGAAGCTTCCCCTATGTCTGACAGAGCCAATGCCAGCCAGCTCCAAGATGGACCCGCCACTGGCCAAGGCCGAGCCCATCAGCGATAGTGGCAACAACTCTGGGATAACAGATTTAAGAAGAGAAAAAAGCTGCAGTGGGCACTGAAATGGCAGTCGGAGAGAGGATTGAGAACATTTGGGAGAAACAACCCTGCAGACACCAAGGTCAGTGAAGAAGGAGGGGGAGGAGGTGCTCCAGCCGCCAGAGCAGAGATTCCCCTGCAGCCTGTGGGGAAGACCATGGTGAGGCAGGCTGTCCCCCTGCAGCCCGGGGAGGTCCACGGTGGAGCAGATATCCACCTGCAGCCCGGGGAGGACCACGGTGGAGCAGATCTCCACCTGCAGCCCGGGGAGGACCCCATGCTGGAGCAGGCTCCTGGTAGGACCTGTGGCCCCGTGGAGAGAGGACCCCACGCTGGAGCAGATTTGCTGGCAGGACTTGTGACCCTGCGGGGGACCCACCCTGGAGCAGTCTGTGCCTGAAGGACTGCAACCCACAGAAGGGACCCACGCTGGAGCAGTTTGTGAAGAACTGCAGCCCATGGGAAGGACCCATGTTGGAGAAGTTCATGGAGGACTGTCTCCCACGGGAGAACATAGAACAGCTACCTTTACAGAAAAATAAAATGCAATTGGCATTTAAGACCATGAACCCCTACCTCTTAAAAAATGTTGGAAAGAACATTTTGCCTAAGCAAGCAAGGCAAAACACTTCTATCTGGTTTTGAGAAGCCCTTACATAGAATGTGTTAAAAAAATTACAAGGTTAAGTTGTGAAGAGAAACACATACAAGGCTTCACTAGTAATGACAAGTATAAACTTGAATCAGTGTTTTTGGCCCAGAAATCATATGTACAATTCCTATAGATATGTGTGTGTGTGTCTGTATGTAATTTTCTCTTTTAACAGAAACATTTAATCTCCTATGGTGTATAATTTCACTGGAATTCTATTTTATGCTAGAAACATGGCATATTTTGATTACTGGTTAACTAACAAAGTATAACCTCCTACACTCATTTCTTGACTCAACAACAAAAACAAAATTTACAGGCCTTAAAAAAAGTTAGAAGTATGTGCAAGTGCATTTATCAGAAGAAAATTAGTTGAGAATTATTATTTTCCTCAGAAGAAGACTCTTTACTCCAAAAGAGCATGCCTCAAACCTAAATTAGAAAGCAGATTACTAGAATCAGGAGTAGTTCATTGCTGTGGAAAGACTGCAAGGAAAGCAGCAGTTCTGATAAATATACTCAAACCAATTGCTGGCAGATAAATCATCAGCTCATTTCATACTGAGAACTAGACATTAATGAGTTTTAATCACCAACTAGTTACAATGGACTTCAAGTAGTTACTAGACAGGAAAAGAAATTAGTAACAGTTTACAGATCCTGAATTTCTAACCATATAATTGGTAAATAAATGGCAGCAATAGTCTAAAATTCTGCAAAATACACTGCATACTCACTGAAAGCAACTATTACTTGGATAACGATTCTGATTTATTTGAAATAGACTACTTCTAACACTTTTGAATGAAACATTTCTTATTTACACTATCAAAAATGTTAGGACAGATTCTCAGGAAAAACAGTATAAGTATCTATTATTTTATTTTGTAAAACAGAAAACCAAGAGGCTTAAATCATGAACTTTTTAATTATCCTTCCAACTTGATTATAAACAATATCTAGTTAGATAAATAAACTTCTATCTAAACTACCTCTCAATGTCCTGACTTCTACTTGCCCATTTCAAATCAGGAAGTAGAACCATTCAGTATATCCTGGTTCAACACTGTACTGTCCAACATCAGTTATTTCATTTTAAAGAATGCCATGGTAAGTTACAAAGCACACAGTAAAGAGGAAAAAGTCACAAAGAACAACTACTGAAAAGGCGATAGTAAAAGCTATACTAATTCATGTGCATGCTATAAGGAAGCAAACATTGACCTATTTTTTATGTCTACATCAGCATAGTAAAAGCAAAATGCAAATAATAATTGACGTACTCATTTGCTTTAAACAAAACCATATAGTTTTAAATATTAATCCATTGCATATTACCTGCATATTCATAAAACCAAGCCAGGCACTTTTTGCTTGAAAAATGTTCCTCTCCACTTATTACTTTACCAGAGGCTTGTGATCTGCAATAGCTTATAGAAACACAAGGATGATAAGTGTTATTTTAATATGAGAAATGGGAAATAATTTAGAATTAAATTCCAAGTTGCTTATTATTAGTTCAAACTATTTAAACTGTTTCACAAAGTCAATATACGTCAACAATGAAGCTGAATTTGTTAAAGGGCAACTGTCATCCCATTTCAACACTTGTTGGAACATAAAATTACCTTGAAATACAGACCTCTCATAGCTCAATTTATTGCAACTATTATGTTTTCTGAAATGCAAAAGTACTGTTATCTTGTAGATATTAAGCTGAATAACCCACACACAGATGGTCAAAATATCACTACGCGGTAATTCAAATGCCTTATTATCTATATATATTTATATATATAGGCATTTAAAGTTAGGTCTCTAATAAGCAGCATGATCTTCAAGAGTGCTGAATATGCACAGATCCCATTTAGGTCAAGAGGAGCTGCAGAGTTTGACATATTTAAAAGTCAGGCTATTTATAGTTAAACATCCAAATTTGGGAAGAAAACTCAGTCAATTTGTTTACATTAAACATGTAACTAAATATATGTAAATTCTATAGATGTTTGGTACACATACCAGAATAGTAATACACAATCTATGGTAAGATTAAAACTGCTCAGCGCACACAGCTCCCCCCTCCCACATTGTCTTCACTATGCGACACACAACCCAGTTTGCCTAGGCAGTGACTTTTCATAATTTATCCTTCTTTAACAGAATACATAGAATAACTAATTTCTTCCAGTAAGAATACTGACCACTTGAAAGCATCTTTAGTCAGTAAGGAGTTGCAGCACCTTGTATTTGAAAGGAGTGTACGTTGACAAGTTACAGACTTTTAGAACAAGCTAAGATTATTTCTAAGAATGAGGTGAAAGTTAATCATATGAGAGGATTTAAAATTATGCAGCTCCTACACTGCAATTTTAAAATTAAAACTTCAAGCAGGAAAAGAACAGTTCAGTTCTGAGAGGTGGTAAACAACTATCTCCCATGTATTGCTTTAAGCTTCACTGGAAAAGAAAGCAATGCGCTCCAAGATGAAGCCTTACGTGCTGAAAGCCAGAATTAAAGAGAGCCATACAGTATGCTAGTGCTTCTTGGTTTTATCCAGTTTAACATATATCCATTTGTAATCACTGGTTTTATTAAAGAATATTACCAATATATTGCTATATAAGAATGCTACATCAAAAATGCTCATGTATCTAACATTGTGATTAGCTAGTATGAACTCTCATTTACATCATAGTTTTTGTGTAATGACAACTAGCTTCCTGTAGAGTCTTTTTTTTTTCTTTGTTAAGGAGCTTTCAAAAGATTTTTTTTAAAGTAAAAGAAATTAAGATCATAAAATTTTGGTCAGCAGTGTTCAAGAAAGATGAACTGAAACTGGAACAGATGCAGAGAAGAGCTACGATAAGCACGGAAGCTGAAAATCGGTATTACAAACCAGAAGAATGTAGCTTGTTTAATTTAACAAAATAAAGTATGAGAAAACACAGCGTTCACTCCAAATACACTACCAGGCAGAACCATGAGGGAGGAGTGTTATATAAAGGATAATGCAGGTACAAGAATGGTTATTAACTGGCTATGAATAAATTGAGACTGAAACTAAAAGATCATTAATGACCACAGAAAGTGAGCTCTGGAACACTTATCCAAAATGAACAGTCATAACAAAATAAAAGCCTAGGTACTTGTAAGCTCAAGCTTGGTCAACCTATGAGAACGGCCAATAGCCACAGTTTCTTGCAACAGACATTCCCGTAGCATTGATTTCGTAAGTCCTTTGTATTCTTATGTCCTCAGGACGTTTGTCGTACTACTGGTTTACTGACATATGTAACAAGTTCTAATAGGTGAAAGTAACTGCATGCCTTCTTCGGGAAGCCACACCGGAAGCTCCTGCTACACCATACTAATGGCTTATCATTCTAATGGTAATTTTCGGGTATCACGGCATAAGTGGTCTTTTTATGGTAGTTAATGAACAAGATGCTTCAGACTCCTGTATTTATTAGAAAAACCTTTCCTGCTTTTGTTTTGGAGTGTGCTGACCTCTCCCTCCATTTCACTGCAAAAAAAAGAAGAGACGATTTAACGTAGACACTCCTGAGTACCGGCAACCTCAAATCGAGGAGAGCTGCCTAGCCCAGGCAACAGCTTAGGCTGAATACGGGAACCGCTGCTGGAATCGGCCCCACCGGTACAGCGAAAGGCTGAACCGGCCGGGAACGGGAGCGGTTCCTAGCGTTTCTCCCCTGAGCGCGAACAAACCAAACGCAGCCGCTGCAACCCGCACGGCGAGGGCCCCGCACCAGCACACCCCGCCACCGGGACGTGCCCACCGGCGCCGAGCCGGGCGGCCAAAC